TGTTCATTACACCTCGGCTTTCCAGCATTGGGCAGTAGAGCAGTAAACTTGCGTTCTCTAGAGTCATGAAGCACCATCCAATACATTTGGGATGAGCTGAAGTGGCGTTTGTGATCAGAACTGATCATCCAACATCAGTACCTGACCTCACTAATGCTCCTGTGGCTGAATGCAGTCAAATCCTCACAACAGCGGGTGTGACAAATTGTAGTTGGAACTTGGCTCTGCAGGCATAAGCTTTTTGTTTGAAGTTTGTATGAATCACAGAGCCAGCATAACAACAAGCACCGATCAAGCAAAAGTATTGATGTATTACTTTTCATTGCATAACCAGAGACCCTTCCTGAGGTCTGATGTGATCGGCTTACAGCGAAATGAGGTCTGACAGGATTGGCAGAACATTAAGTTTGTCAATCTCTGGTAGTACAGCAGATTCAGCGCTGCATTAGAGCAGCAGCAGCAGCGCCTCCCCCAGGTCACACCGTGCTACATATTGTGAATGAGAATAAACTACAGATGATTTGGAGTAGTAATGTATATTCACTAAATCCTCTCTAACATTGGCCTAGCAATGCCAGTGTATTTGACAATGCATTTATTGCATTAATGTTTAGGCAAAACCAGTGTACTGTACTAAAATACCTGTATTTTATTAATTTGTAATCTAAAAAATTAATGTTACATTACTCTGTAATGCTAATCCTAGTGTATTTAGTCCCAATTCCTACATTTTATAAATGCATACATATCAACAGATATGTACATGAAAAATATTGGCTGTCAGCATCAGTCCAGAATTCTCTCCCTGATTAAGAAGTGTTGGATGAGCAGGTGTATACAAACCTTTAGACATATATGATAACCTTGTAATAAATGAAGTGTTGCTTTCTGTTGTACTGTCATACTTTAAAGGTGGCTTCACCTGATATTCTCTCATGTCTTTCAAAGCCCTCAGAATCCTAGGCTCGAGAATAATGGCTATGGTGCTGAAATAAATGACCAACCTAATCCAGTAGGAATATTGCAGGTATGTCATTCACTGTGTTTGGCTGGTTTTAGAATCAACAAACTGCCTTCATTGTGTTTAAGAGGTCAGATGTTCATCTGTTGTCTTGCATTGTGTCCATTCTCCAGGAGCTTGCTATGCAGAGGGCATGGCGCCTGCCAGAATATGTGGTGTGTATGGAATCAGGGCCAGCTCATAAGAAAGAGTTCACAGTTACCTGCAGATTAGAGACACTTTCTGAGACAGGTATGCAGCTTCTGCTTGGGAGCCCAGCTTTTATAGACACTTTATTTTTATATTTATAGATTTATACTTCTGTTCCTTACACTTGCAACAGTGTTTGACTGTCAGATATAATGTGGTAAAATAGCAAACAATTCAGATTATTAAATTATGTGCCCTTGCATGTGCTGAAGTGTGCTTAATTGTATTATCAGGCACAGGAAGCTCTAAGAAGAATGCCAAGAGGGTAGCGGCAGAAAAAATGTTGGAAAAACTACAAAGTCTCTCAGGCTCTTCTGAAATTACATGGGTGAGATTAGCATCCACTTACAGCAACTGATAATCAAAGCCTGCTGTTTTAATACATTACACTGCTGAACACTGAAGATCTGACCAATTATCTCTCAACTCTCACCAGAGTCCAAAGCCACATGTGTATCTGGAGAATTTGCGGACCTCAAAGCTGGAGAAGATATCTTTACTGAGGAGGAATCCTCTAAGTATCCCAAACACAGACTATGTACAGATGATGCTGGAGTTATCTCAGGAGCAGGGCTTTGAGGTTACATATTTTGACATAGGTGAGCTTTTTTCCTGACGGAACATTATTTCTTTAAAGAAAAAAAAAATCATAACAGAACACCTCTATATAAAGTATATTGCCCAGTGTATGATAGGTTCCTGGTTTTGGTCATTTTATTATGTATTATTCCATGATATATTATTATATGTACATTATTTTAACATTATGACTGTTAAAAGCTCTGTGTATATGTTTTGCAGATGAACTTACAGTCAATGGGCAGTACCAGTGTTTGGCGGAGCTGTCCACAACGCCGGTTACAGTGTGTCATGGTACAGGAATTTCCTGCAGTAATGCTCACAATGATGCAGCTCATAGTGCGCTGCAGTACATCAAGATTATGGCCACCAGCAAATAAACAGACAAACCTTCTACAGCCTCCAACTGCATTATGTAATCAGCTTATCCAGCAGATCTATTGAACATCATGAACAAATTGGAGCCATCACTTAAACAAACCTGGAGACAGATTAGAATTTTCAAGTCTGTTGCTATTGCAAATGATTTTTTTTTTTGTGCAAAAAAATTGCAGAAGTATGGCAAGTGGTTAATGCCAGAATATTTATAAACCTGAATCACGTCACTTGTACTCATTTTGAAGATCTTCTTGCCGGAGCCTTTAAAGCTGGCGTTTTTATTGCTGGCTTTAGTAAAGGCCTTAGAAGAAGAACTGAATTATTTGTGTTCTAGTCAAAACAGTGTCAGGTAAGCTCCTGCAAAGCTAAACTCATTTATTCACTTCCTTCAGTTATTTCTCCACAAATGTTTAAGTATATCTGATGGTCATCTAAACATGTGACATTTAGGTATCATAGAAAACTATTCAAAAATGAAGATATATAGGTATGTGTACATGTGCTCCATATACAATGGCAGTCCAAAGCATTCTGACAGTGGAGTGAAAAAATAACTGCTTTGAATATGGTTTATGGACAAGCTGTGAAGCACAAAAAATAACATTTGAAAAAAGGAGAAACGTATTTTATAAAGGGGAAGGGGGGGGGGTGAAGATGACAAAAATATTTTTTTTAGACTTTTTTTTTTAATGCATCTGTACATAAGTCAGATGCTGTGTAACACTTGGTGTGACTAATTATTTTAATGAAGGTTTGAGTGTTTTGGTATTTATTTGTCCACATGTTCATGATTAAAGGAATAAAAAAAGTAACAGATTCTTCATTTTGTTGGTTATACACTATAATAATTAATAATTATGCAAAAGTTCACCAAATAAACCAGTTTGCTAGCTTAGTCAGGTTAGATAGGTCTTTCCTGTAGGATTGTTTACCCACATGTGAATTAAGCCTAGTGTAGATCTGAATTTCAATGCCAGTGATGATTGGCCGTTAAAGGGTAACTCCACCGATTTTACAAAATTACTCAATCATTCAGTGGTTTAGATGTAAACAAAATCATTCGGAGTGGTTCGTTGTGAAATGCGCCTTTCTAGAGAGATTTACCAAATCAGAATAATTCACCATTATAGCACTAGGAACCAGACGTCCGAAGCATTTAATGTCTCTAAAAATTACATCCCAGTAAGTTATTATACAAACTGGTTATGAATGTGTTGCTTGATAACTGAGACATTGTTTTGTGATAGTTTTGATATAAAATGTAGGCCTGAAACGTATTTTTAGTATAAACTATTACTTCAGGATCACCGTGTTTCCTTTCAAAACCGTTAAACGTTTTTGCTTCTTACTTTGCGCACAAACAGAAAATGGATACTTTTAAGATTATATTTGACCTACAGCCGATTAGATCAGACTCTGAAGATGAGACTACACTAAATTCCCAAACTGTCATTACCGCTGAGTAAGCTTTTCAGTCGGCAGCTGTGACAGAAGAACACCTAAACAACCTGGAATTAGCCAGAAATGAACCGAATACCATTTGCCAAACACAAGACGCTTACAGACTAGCTGGTACAAAAACATTAATATTGTAATATTAATAATAACATTAATAATAGCAAAAAAAGACATAATTTTGCGATAACACACTCCCTCTCGTGTTCTATTGCTTAGAAGTACAATGTAAGGTCCTTTCAAAAATCCATAAACTTAAGCGTGCTGGTTGCAGCTTTTAGTATTTAGTCCCTACGCTTTATTTGCTACAGTAACTGGTTTGAATCTCAGCCAACTGCTCACTGGTGATGTCTGCCCTGTTCTTCATGGTAGATTTGCTTCAGCTGTTTCCCATACAGTCCTAGTGCTGGCTGAGGATGGGCTTGATGAGCATGACGTCATCATATTGCGCTGTATGGGAGCATTGGTAGTGTTAAACAACACGCTCTGGTCTGTTGTACTTAAAGAAACATCTGCTATACACTGCTCAGAAGCCTGATGTCTTGATGTAAAGTACCCTTTGGTCTGTGAAAGGTGCTATATGAAACAAATGCTGTTGGGTTCTGGGGTGTACTGTATATAAAGCTTTGCTGCTTTTGTGCGATTAATTTAGTAGGATTACTCTCAGAAGATATATGCAACACTGGAGACTGGGTTTAACACACAGAAAGGTAACACTGTTAATGTTATTCAGAGCAACAGCTTATGACCTTTGACTTGCAAAACACCACATTTGCACCGGAAAGCTGTGAACCAGCCTGCACAATATCAGGATTTTGTGACCTACAGGGTCAAATGAAAGACTGGAGAACTTTCTGAGTGCAAATAGAACTGCATGACCAGTATGTTGAAAATATGTGGCAAAACGCTTCATACATCTGAAAAACCTATATGAACTTTTAATGGTGTGCAACAGGATTAACCCATAAATCAGGGAACTGACAACAGCTGAACTCAGACTGTAAAAGTCAACAGATCTTAATAAAATATAAATTATAAATAATAATAATAATACATTTTCTAATAATTTTACATTTGTTACATTATGTCTTACATTAAAAGTTAAGTGTGATCTATATCCTGTGAATGTTCAGTCACACAAAGAATGCAGGGCCACACTCATTTCCACTAGTTTGGTATATTGGAACAAGCACTAGGTAGCAGCTGTGTACAGTGATCATGGAGATAGAGATATGTATTTATACAATTGCACTTGTTTAAGGAACCCCGTTGTTAAAATGGATTCATCTCGCCAGACGGTTCCACACAGAGTGGAAAGGAGTTTGTTGGTCTGGACATAAGGGAAACAAAACCAATGAATAAACAAACAAACCAGAAATTAAATGAAACATCTTTATAAGGCATCAGCAACGTTCATTGGCAGGCTATGTCATGTACACATGCAGTTAGAAAAACATGACAACAGATGAGCTAGTCAAGAGTTCTATGTAGTCTCCGCTTCTGAGCTGGAAAGCAATGCAACCTTTCTGATGTGCTGTTCTTGCCTCTGTTCAAGGTAATGTACTTTTAATTCTAAAATACCTAATACAAACAGTTGTACCAGGACTCCTTTTTTAGTAAGGTGACTGCTTTGATTTAAAGTCTCTACGTACATGCTTATTTTTCTCAGGTTACAGATTATGGACGAAAAGTTCATCCAATGTTGGAAAGCGTTCGGCTGCTGCTATGCACAGCAGAGCTACTGTGGGAAAGTGCATTGGTGTGCAGTACATAGGATGTGTCCAGTTGAGAGACATTATGATCCTTGTGCGGTACAGTGAGTTAATGTGATTACAGATGCGTTAAGGCACAGCAAGTGGGACTGATACAACGAGATATGATTTCGTTAAAGTTCTGTTCAGAGATATGTAACTGACTACATTAACCACACATTTTTTTTCTACCATCAGTATTTCAGTAACCTACTGACATGACATTCTATAAGAGAGCATTTTGTGCCATATAATCTACATAAACTATCTAAAATAAACACCTGACTTTGTCTCCTGTGAACTGTTTGAGATGAAATGAAAGTATAGCAAGTAAATCCAGCACAGTCAACATTACAATGAGTGGAATCGGCTCCAATGAATTACACCATGACTGATGCAACGTGTCCTCATATGCAGTAAAAAGAAGTACATTTTGTGAACAATGTGTCTAAAACTGGAATAATATTTTGTGGTAAAAGCAAACAGCGCTAAGGAGCAAACCATTTTGGTTAAGAGGTTGTGGGCATAGATCTTCTGGGTAAAAGAAAAATGGAAACATTCATTCAGCAAAATAAACACTGGGCATTTTTACATTAATAAAAACCCTCTTTGGTTAGAATCAGAAAAAGAATTCCAAACATTGCCCAAAACATCATCTACAAGCAGTAATTCATTTTTCACACTCATGATGATGCTTTGAAAAACTCTTGAGGTTTCTGACACCTAGGCCCATATTTATATTTATTGTCTTAGAATAAGAGTCCTGATTCAAGAACAGGTTCTTCGTGACCAATGACTGCATTCTTGAAAGTTAAAAGTCTCCTACTTTGATAAGTTCTGACCTGTATGAGATGTCCAGCAGGTGTCTCTGGTGCAGTAATAATACAGTAGCTGTGTTCGTTCTGAGCAGTTTGGGAGTCATGCAGCAAGAGGAAGAGTTAAGGATGTCCTAAACCTGGCACATGTACCAACTGAGAAAAAAAAACAAACAAACAAAAAAAAAAACTGCACATGTTTGACTTCCAGCCCAATACTCTTCACTTACATTCCATAACGCTGCAACATTAACAACTCTTGTTAAGGACTAAAACACTTAAAACAACTGAATCCCCTAAATAATTCAGGTAAAAAACACACAGTAAATATTAAAACAACACAAGGTGTTGCAAGTACATTAATAAGAGTTTTAAGCTTTTGTCAAGCAGCAATGCTAAAAATACTTGCCTGGGACATGTCTGCATTCACAGGTGAGTAGTGTGTAAAGTATGCCACCTGCAAACGAGTTGTATCTCTTAAAGACAGCAATAAATCACACTAAATGTAGATGTGGCTTAAGTTAAATTTAGGAAAAAACCCTTTATGTACAGTGGACACACACACGCACACACACACATTATCTAAGCTGCTTATCCTCCTAGGTTGTGGAGGGTGAAACACCCTGGACAGGTTGCCAGTCCATCTCAGGGCAGACACACTGACATACATTCACACACACGTTCACACATAGGGGCAGTTTAGCATCTCCATTTCTCCTGACTGCATGTCTTTGGTCACCCAGGTCCTTCTTGCTGTGAGGCGACAGTGCTATCCACTGCCCCACCGTGCCAGCCACAGTGGATATAAAAAAGCCTTGTTGAAATGGCAGGTATTTGTGATGTAAAGCCAGAAATCAAGATATCATATATTTCAGATACCTCACATTTTTCCATCTTTAGTGTGACATTACACTCAACAAAATTCAAGAGATAAACTAATTCATATGTGACTGTTAGGAAAATTAATAAACAGACTTTTTTTTTTATTTTTACAAGTCTTTGTAAAACAAGTCACTATGAACCTTTGACACCTATATATTACCATGTAATCTCTTGTGCACAGCACAGTGTAGGCCATTTCACAGGTTCTGGGCTCTGACTGGACCATTCTAAGACACAGATTTTCCCTTTGGATCATTATCATTTGGAAGGTGAAATTCCTCTATCTGCAGAGATTTCGTGTCAAAACAACTTGATATTTGGAGTTAGTCCTTCAAATAAAACTTCAATCTTTGTGTTATGAGATGGTTTTAGATGATTTAACATATATATTTTTCAAACTTTAGATGGGATTGGATGATCTTTTTGTGAAAAATTGTTTGTTTTCAACTGTAACCTGTTGCCCAAACATAAGCAGAATATGGGGGATTGCTGTCACATGCGAGGAGTGACCACTACCTGACAGAAATTCCTACAGCTTTTTTAATGTTGCTGTAGGTCTCTTGATAGCCTCCCTGACAAGTTATCTCCTTGTCCTGTCATTAATGTTTGAGGATTTTCCTGACCTGAGCATATTTTTCAGGTCTTCATGGACCATTTCTATATCGAAAGATGAAATCATGAAAATGTCAGGAACAGCTGAATTTTACTTGGGGTTTATCAGAATTACTTTCATTGATGGCAGGTCTGTGGTGCTAATCTTTGGACACTGTATTGAATGTGATTTGTAAGCACAGCTTCAGCCCCCTTTAAAAAGTTTATTTGAATTTTACGTAATAATTACTTAGAATTTTGTTGATTGCAATCTGAATAAGGATGTGTACACTTTTTATATCCACTATATGCTGCTCAAGATAAGAGTGTCTGCCAAATGAATAAATGTAAATGTACAAACACCATGATAGTTTCTGATGAGCAGAATGGACAGAAAACTGGAGCCTATCTTTTGTTAGAACAGCTTTTCAAAGCAGGGACGGAAGGTAGTTCATGGGCTGCTCAAATGGTCTGCTATCCTGTCAGCCCTCTGGAAAAGGGTCCAAATCTTTGGGAGTGTTATAGGTGTATACATTTTTAAGAACATGTTATGAAACCTGACAAAATACAGTTTCTAATCACTGAACCAAGTCACTAACCTCACTGAGGCAAGTCCTGTTTTTATTCCTTGGAGATATCTGAAAGACAGCAGACGGAGCTGAATGAAAAGGGATGTCCCCTTTTCAGAAACCATGAATAGGACTGGCTGGTCTGTTTCTGCTCCCCCATGTGGGTCTACTCACTGACCCCACACTGGCAAAGAGCTTCTAAGCTTTGACGTTTTACAAAAATACCATTACGTTTTTAAACTACAAATGATGTATTGACAAGTCATTATAGCATGTGCCAATGAAAGCTGCCTTCTAAACATGCAGAATATTGTGTAGATACTGTATTTATAACTGAGAGATAATTCACACGGTCAGTTCTAAATCAGAGCACTTGAAATCAAATGGGTTTGACTAAAAGCATAAAACTGGGTTGTTAACCAGTTGCTTCTTAAGGCAAGGACGTAACGGAAAGCCCAACAGGCTTCGTTTGGATAGCTCTACAACTCAGGCGGTTGCTGTGACGACGACCCTGTCTCTGCATGTTACTATGGTGAGGGAAATTCTGGCAGGGGAGGGGTGGTGCAATGGTGTGCAGAGTCTGTCTTCATTCATCATTTGCTTTCCTTCAGTGTGTGCCTGGAACCGTGCCAAAGTCGTCTGTTTATCCCGTCCCACTGCGCTTCACTGTAAGCAGCATTGTGCATAGGTAAAGCTTCTATAGTCTGTAGCAATGGTGATATGTTTTGTACAGGTATTTGGATGCTACCACAGTTGAGGGTTTTCCATCTTAAGGAAGCCTGGCTCCTTGCGCAGCTCCCAGTACATGTTATTAGACACCCACCTCTCTCTCTGGTTTGAGTCTATAACTTTCCTGTGAATGAAAATACAAAGAAAACTATTATATACTATCAACTACTGCATACAAAAACTATTTGTCCTTTACTGTTCAGTTATGTATGCATCAGCTTCACCAAGATAGTCATTCTACATGCAAGTGGACCTGACCAATAAAGTGACTCTTATTTAGAAAAAATGAAGGAAATCCATGAGGGTTAGCTTTACAGAGCTAAGGTAGAAAGCTGATGGTGAAGACATACTGACAGCAGTCGAAACCTAAATGATTCTACTTAGACACAAAACAAACAGACTGAAAAGTGTTTAAAACTGCAGAATTTTTTTTTAAATTAAAAGAAGTAGCATTACTGAGTCAGGAGGAAAAAAAACATTAAAATATGGTGTGCGTTTGCTAACAAACAAAAGTCCAAAGCAAACAAACAAAGTTCTTCTGTACATTACATGCAATTACATTCCCACAAGAGTGCTCTCTAAATCTTACATAGTGTAGCTTTAAGGCGCACCTTTGCGCTTTCATATCAAAACAAACCTTTATATAAAAAGATGTGTGTTCATATATGGTGCTGTTTTGTTCAGACCAAAGATTTGGTTGAATTACACACAGAGAATGGAGATTCTTCATAGAAAATTTCTTTGACACTAGGACTAATCTGCATCCCAAAATCAGCTCTTAAAGAAATACACAGACACAAAGATAAGAGACTCACTTAAAAAAGCGTGGCTGGTGTTTTGTGTTGTTCTCTTCATGCCACTTCCTCCTGGCCCGCTGTAGCTCCTCAATCCTCTGTTTCTCAGCTGCAGCGAACTCCACCTTTCCCTCCTCCAGATACCTGTGGAAGAGGGGGAGATAGGGTGTTACAGTGACCTGGTAAACTGCTCTCATGCTTTTATTGAGGCCCTGTCATTTTTTTACAAAAAGGTATATTGATTACTTAAAAAAAATAAACTTTCAGAAAGTAAATATTTAGGAGTGTGAAATAAACAACACTTAATTGGATTCTACTACTAAGAACTAGTAAATAGGGCATGTCCTCACCACATGATGGCAGTAACACGCAGTCTCTCTGATCTGGGAGCAAAACGCATCTGACTGCACAGCAATGAGTCATGTGAACGTGAGTCTCTGTGTGCGGGTGGGGAGGGTAGGTGTGTGTTTCAGGTCTAGTCTGATTTCCATATGGATCTGTGTATGTGTGTTTGTGTGTGTAGGATCTCATCTGGATTGTGCATCCATGTGTGTGAGAGCATGTACATATACCTCTGGTCTGGTCTGAAGCGAGCATCTGTAGGTGGTAGCAGCTCCCTCATCTCCGGACAAAGCTCATTCAGCTCAATAGCAAACCTGGTGAACCCATAGTAGAGCTCATAGTCGGTAGGCATGGAGCCTGCAAAGACATAAACCACACAGGTAAAATATTAATAGCAATGTGATATTTCTATAGATGCTAAAGTTAATACGTTAATAACATGTTAACACAAATAATTATACTGAAATTATTATGTATCAACGTAAGCAGGTAAGACAAATGAAATTAACTACAAAAATATATATAATTTTAAAGAAAGAAGTTACAGGTAAAACGTATTTGCTTTTAAACTGCTCTGTTTAAAAAAAATCTACACTTGGAGGGCAGGAGTCTTGTACACCTGGCGGAACATCTCACAACTAATTAGGTTAAATGGCGACAGGTCAGTAACATGATTGGGTATGAAATGTCTTTCAGAAGTAAAGATGTGAAAGTTTGTGGAGCACACAGTTCAAAAGATAGCATCCATGATGGTAGGGGGGTGCATTAGTATATATATATATATATATATATAAAGGTTTTGGGGAATGGGAAACTATTTCATTTTCAAAACTACAGCAATTGATCTCCTCAGTTCCTAAACCCTTACAGAAAGTTGTTAAAAGAAGAGGTGATGCAACACAGTGGTAAACATGCCCCTGTCCCAGCTTTTTTGAAACGTGTTGCTGGCATCAAATTCAAAATGGCCATATTTAAACACAAATTAATAATAATAATAAACAGCTAGAGGAGTATAAAGTTCCCCAGAACTGAACTGTGAAGCAGTAAGTTTGCCTTCTTTGGAGTGATGAAGTACCATCAAATTTCTCTTGTATGAGTTGAGGGGCATTTGTCTTCTAGAACTTATCAGCCAATATCAGTAGCTGACTTCACTAATGCTCACTAATGCAATCAAATCCTCACTGCAGTGTTCTAGTATCTTCCCAGGTTAATATTCTTCATTTCAGAAGAAATTTTGAACAACTAGGTGTCTAGATACTTTTGAACGTATAGAGCATATCCTCCTTTAACCATAGACAGGTGTACCTGGTCTCCAGATGCATTTAGCAGAGGGTGGGACTCCACAGTAAAGACCTTCATGCCATTTCCCAAACAGTCTGTGAACCACCTTCCCCTCTTGATCCATCACAAAGCCCTGTACCTCATTCACATTGGAGCTCCAGTAGTTACCCTGTACACATACACACATACGACACAGAAATGAAAGAAAAACAGGAGTTAAAAAAGAGAACACTGGGTGGTGATTTATAATTGGTGTGTGTTTGGTTTAATACCTTGATGAAGGTGAGTTTGCAGATGCAGGTACTGGTCTTGGTATTTCTGATAGTGATCTCGCCGTAGTGCTCAATCCACCTCCTTCCGCTCAGAATATTGTGCACACAGGTGGTCACTTTATTCCATTCGTAGTGGTCACCATAACTACGGACACACATCATACATACTAACGTGTTAGCCCTGCTAGGTTTACCTATGCCGTTGATAACAATCATCCAAGTGCGATAAAACACTAAAAGGCTTTAAGTATTTTAGAGGTTCTGTACCTGGGCAACATCACATTGACTGTGCCAATGGGGAGGATTTCCATAGACTTGCCCCAGAACTTGTTCTTCCATCTGACATCTAACACAGCATTAAAACAAATACATGTGAAAACAAAATAATCATACTGGGGGACAGTGACCCCACCTCTTCCTTGTCTTCAAATGACCATCAAAGCTCAGCCATCTCTTGACTGTATATAAGGAATAGCTCAAACCCAAATTCTGTCTTTGGGCACATTATACCACTAGTTTCTGTGGCTGATTCTATGGTCCATTTAACTGCAGCTACAACATTACTGTTAAGGCTAGTATAGCAAGTATCAGGTTCACGTAAAAAGACAGTTAAGAAGAGAAGAACCCAATTGAAAGGTCCAGGCTTACCTTGCCAGAAAGTGAAGTTTTTGGATTCACAGTGGCAGGCAGAAACGGGGGGGTGGTGGCTCACCTGGACAGAGGTAGACAGAGGGAGACACATAAATGACCAGAGGGAAACATTACAGGTAAAATAACAAAATATAACAATCATCTTGTTACTGTAACTGACTTCCATGCTGAAGTTCAGGATTTTTTTTTTTAACAAAATTAAAATTTTGTGTAATGTTCAGAAAGAGCCAAATTACTAGTGTGTGTTGCTTTCTTTCAGGCCTCTTATCTTAAGCTTGCCCATAATGCTGAGCTACTGTAAGTGAGGATCACTAAGGAAAAATAAATGATATAATAACAAGTATGTAGACATAGTTCTTCAGGCTTCACAGCATCATTTAACCAGTTTCATATTTAAAAAATGCTAGTCTGACAGTATTTGTATTTCACTAGTTGCACCATACTAAAGAATAGTATTTTTCCACATAAAAACTGGGTTTACAGAATGAGCTGTACTTTAAGCTAGCTAATGTATGTAATGCCCTACAAATATTTCCAACTGCTAAGGAAAGTACTTAACAGACATTTTTAGCAAACCAGCACTCACTCTATGGTGAACAGTGAAGGGTCGATTCTAGTGCACCTTTTGACGTCACTACCAAGAGCATAATAAAAAAGGCAAACTATAGGTAGCATAAATGTTCAATTTTATTAACATGTTTTACTGGTAAGACATTTTGACCTTAATATGGTATAAATACAATGAAATGGTCAAAATGTCTTAGCAGCAGGGCTTTGTTTTAAGAGTTCATTTTAATCCTTTAAAGAGTACTTATCTATATATATGTCCTTAAGTATTTGTCCTTCTATTTCATGTAATACTGTGACTGGAATAAAAATGCAGTTAACAGTGTTTACTATGGAATGTTCAGTAAAAAGAATCAATGTCTTTTCATGTAACACTTTTGATTTGCCAGGTTCACTACCAGTCCAACAGTCACCCTTTTCTGTATATATTCACAAATGGGTGCATGTGCACACGCGCACACGTGCACATACACACACACACACACACACACACACACACACACACACAGATATGTGCACAGAGTGCCTCTAGGAGAAAGAGCAGTACTGACAAAGACCCTTTTACAATGACACAGAGGAGATTCTCTGCCAGAGGACAGGTGCTTTTTATGTCTCTGTACGAATGCGTATGCTCATATTAAGGCTAATCTGAATCACATGTTACAGGCTTTGAATACTCCGAATACTTATTGCACTGCAGGTGACGATGAGGAGAAGTGGGTGCCTAAACTAAACTAGCTGTAATTTATTTATTCAGTACCCGTATATTAACAATCACAATCCTGTTTTTTAAAGGCCTTTGCTGATGAAATGTATTTAGGCTACATTTTTTGTATTTTTGAAAAAAGAGAGAAAAAAGACAAAGCCTCTGAACACTAAATCTACAATCAAATACCAACATAGTAAGCAAACACTCAAGTTTTCAAATAATTCACACATTTTTAGATGCAATGTGTAATTTAAAAAAATCGATCTGTAAACCATACTGGTCTAAATGACTCACTCCAATGACTCACTCATGATTGGAAGTACTGGAGCTAATAACCCATCAGCAGCGGTGAGAAACACATGACTAAAAGTTCTGCCTACCTGTTCAGAGAAGAAGCAGAAGCCTTTGTCTTCCCGGATACATTCGTAAGTCTCTCCTAGTATGGGGTTAAAGGGCTTGCTGCCTGCACGGTAGTACGTGGAGGAGTACGCTGAGACAGCAAACGCAGCTACCAGCGCCTACAGAGACACATCAGCAGGAGATACACACCAGCTACAGTCACTCCAATCATTACAGGAAACCAGTGTTCATACACAGGTTACAGCTTGACTGCAAAACATTAAGAACGGAGGCATTCAATGAAAGAAAACCCATTAAAGAAATACAGCGAGCTCTGGCTTACGGAGAGATCTCTAAGAGATTTAAAGCTAGTGCAGATCCAGAGACTTGAGGGTTTCAGATGTGAATTTGAAGCTTTTAGTAAAATTTCCCCTTAAAGGACACAGAGAAAAAGGTGAATTATATACAGCATGTGAGGGCCACTGCAGCTAAAACAGGGGCTACACAACAAAGATAAAGGACATAACGAGGCCAGGCAGCATAGGGATTTTTACCTCAAAGAGACTTCGTTCCCTGTACAAATGCAGGCGCACACACACACACATACCACTACACCTCTAATACTCAGGGGATATGGTTACCTGCTGTAGGCAGTAATTGTCCTTCTATAGGTGACATTACTTTGGTGCCTGTTCTATTCTGCTGTCAGTATGCATGTGCTTGAGGCTCCTCTCACTGCACTGTTACAGCTCCCTAATGCATAACGCTGTCTTTCCTTGGCCTTGTTTTATGCTAAGCTGCATTATTCTATCTAAGGGATATGTACTTAATTCTATTCTAAAAGACAAATTAGCAATTTGAAAAACAGCATTCTGTAAATGTCTATTTCAAAAGTCAAAGATCTGAAATTATGGTATAATTACACTGTCAGGAAAAAAAGGTACTGTACAGGTATATTTTTGTTCATGAAGGTACAATATAAATGCACCCTCGAAGGTACAACAGTGGTCTTAAGGGCCAAATTTTTCCAGGTGAAAGGTATGTATTTGTATGTACATCATAACCTAAAGACCTTTTAAAACTAAAAGCCTGGAGTCAAGACTGGGTGCTCTGAGTCAGTGCAACTACATATATATACTTGCAATGGAATTTGCAAAATTCAGCTCCCTAACTAAAGGTACTGAAGATGTACCATTAAAGCTATCAACTCAGTGACACTTCAGTATCTTTTTTTCCTACAAGTGTACAGTACTGTGCAAAACTCAGAAACCACCCTTCATTTAATTTTCAGTCAAACAGCCATTAAATAAAAGTTACTCATTTCTTCAGCATCAGAAAAAAAGCAGAAAACATTATTATTGAATTATATATAATAATATCAGTAATTACTGTGTCCACATTTTGTCTTTATTACAGCTTTCGTTGTTTTTGGGAGCCTTGCTTTCAGTTTTTCAAAAAAAAAACCTCCACAGTTCAGTCTTAGAAGTTGGTTGCATTTTCTTCTTCTCACGATTTAAGTAAGCCCAAACACATTCAGATGTTGCTGAGGTCTAGACTTTGGGGTTGTTCATTGTTCTGAGAACACCAGCAGCTTTTTTGTTTGATTTGCAGATTTTCTTTTCTCAGTAGGGGCTTTTTGACAGCTACACATCCTTTCAGAGTTAAAAAAATTCAATTGTGTTAAATTGTCTTGTAACAGTGGAAGGATGAACAGAAACACCTGTTGATTCTTTCAGACCTGAAGCATCTCTCAAACATGAAAGCTTTAAGTACTGTTCATCTTATGGTGACCGTTTTGGTGGTTGACCAGGTCTTACACAGTTGTTAAGAGTCCCTTTTTCCTCTGTCTTTTAATCCATTATTGAGACTTCTGTTTTTTTTTACTTGCGTTCCCTTCTTTATACAAGTAGATTATTTTATATCTAATCCTCAAGAAATAATATAGTCTTCTGAAAAATGAATAACTTGTACTTAATAACAGTTTTGACTGGAAGTTAAATAAATGTAGAGTCTGTGGTCTCTGGCTTTGCACAGTACTGTACATTTTCCTCATGGAATTGTCAATGGACATATTTGAAGTTGCAAGAGAAGCTTAAATTTATACACAATTTTAGTAGCCTTGCTCTAAAACACAATGTTGAGGTTCAAATGTTGAAGATTTCTGGGAACTTGAGAGTGTACCATGCGTTCATAAGGGTCGTCAGTCTCCGCTGCTTTGTCCAGCAGCTCTGTGTACTCCAGCTCCTCACACATGTGCTGCAGCGTATTTAGAGGCTCGTTCAGCTCCACGGGCATCGACACCTTGGACAGGTCTTTACCAATATTGTTCCTCAGGATGTTCCACAGGTTAATGTTGGAGGTATCAGGGGAAGGGGCAGGTAAGCATGTCCGTCGCCCATTACGGAACGCACCCCCGGCCAGATCTCCATTCGGCACTGCGGGGACAATATATGGAGAATGTTACTGTTGGTTATAGGATCTTACTGTAGGAAGCAGTGCCCATGTAAGAATTACAGAAGAGGGCTTACAGAATCTGTATCAATGGAAAAGCATTAAAGAATCACAGACTTGGTTAACAAGAGTCGAGATGGAATTATATCTTGAAGCCCTGTGTTTGGAATAGATCACCCCTGCACTCTAAGCTCTCTTGGCTAACTGGATTTTTCTGCTGCACTTGCATGCCATGTTGGCTGAGAGGGGAATCGGGATGCTCCAGAAACTGTGAGATGTGAATATAAACCATTTATCTATCACAGATTATAGCACCATGCCACTGGAGCCCAGGCACACTCCATTTTGGCCCTTTAAGGTGTTATTGTTGTTTAGATATACGTTCAATTTATATTACATAATAATTTATATGTATGTACTAATCATATCAGATATTTATATGTACATACATATATGGACATTGCCGCCAATGCTGATACACAAACCATTTATAAAAAGGAATAATTAGGACATATAGCTGAATTAGCATGACAGAAAAATTAAACATTTATTTCTGTATGGTTACAACTGCAGTAAAAAGAATAAATTGCAGACATTTTAACACAGGAGCCCAACATCACCTAAATATTATGCTCTTCAAGAGTACAATAAATGCATGGTAACACTTTATTTGAGAGGTCTTCATAACACCTGGATAATCATTGAATAGCATATTTATAAAGAATGTATGCCTGTAAGTATAAGATGCCATAAAATGTTTTATGAAGTAAATGACTTTAAGGTGCCTTAAGATAAAGTGACAGACATTTGTTCCATTTCTAAGCATAATTTCCAAGTAAAGGAGCTTGTAAAGCAGATACCTAATTAAGAACACCATATATCAGTTCTTTGAAAGATGCTGATGCCCTCAAACGTTTTGTACATGTCATAATATACATATACGCCCAAAAACATTTTTTTGAGGGTAAAAATAGAAATAAACTTGAGAAAATAAAGCACTCCACTTATGTCCCATTACCTTTTTAAAAGCAATAAAGTGACAGTTGTTGTTGTTATGAAATATGAAAGGTGAAGGGATCTGTACTTTACTTTAAATTACAATAATTCAGTAATTTTTGGTGAAAATAGTCTTAAAACATTTTAACTCCTTGGGACCACTGGTGGTTCCAAAACGCACTTCGTCATATTCTTCAGAACTTTCATATTTCATAAGCTACATTCAAAAGGTGGGTGTCATATGAGAGTTGTAACTGTCTTCTTTACAATCAAATAGATGGGTGATGTAATTTTAAACCCTTATAATAAAAGAAGCTGAACTCAATTTTTTTTCTACTGAAATTTGGCCCATTTTCCACAAATCCGAGCTATAAACTGGATCTCAGATGGTGTCTCTTCAGTGATCTGCTCTGTAAGAAATATTTTTATGAAAAAATACAAAGAGCGTCTAAGATTTTTGGCTTTCAGCAGTAAATTGTAAGCATATAGCAATATGTGCATGATCATAAAACACATTTTCTGTTAATTCGAGGGGAGCTTTTACAAAAAAATAAAAAACAAAATAAAAAAAATTTACATTAATTTCATGGAGTTACTGAATAATTTGCCTTACGATTTGGGCATGTAAATTCAGATGGAAAAACCAAAATATACCCTTGAGAATAAGAGGTTAATGTAATAGGTTACCAGAAATGTCAATTTGGTGACAAGAGACATTAAATTACAAATATAAGAAAAACAACACTATTTTTTGCTTAGAAAGAAAAAACTCTAAAGGCAATATATATAAGTATATATACATATAAGTAATATATAAAACACAGGAAAACTTTGTATGTTTATTATTTATTTGAAAAGTTGAAAAAATCTGTATTTGTTGCCAGAAAATAATGAATTCAGTTGACACAGGCTTTTAAAAGCCATTTGTATTCTCCCTAAAATTTGGTAACAGGGTTGCCAAAAAACAGTTAATGAACTCTTTTAATGGAAAGTGACATATTACTTGAGTAAAAGTATTTGGTTTTAAGTGGTTTTAAAAGAGAGTTACACTAGCTATTAGTTATTATTTCATATTTATTATTTTGATGAACAGTTTCTATTAGAGAGACTTGTGTGTGCAGATATAAAAAACAGGGTTACCTGTTCATGTCTGCAATCACCAAGGGTGCCTTCTTTTTTTTCATTTAAAGTCTATATAATTGGTATATGGTGTTCTTAACTGCCCTTTGTCTTCTTAGTCCCATTATTTGCAAATTATGCTTCATAGGATTGTTACCAAACAAACATATGTCTGTTATTTTAGTATTTTATTTCAGGCCCCTTATGTCTATACAATGCCATATTCTTCATAAAACATGTCATGTCATTTTGTGATTACTGGCATAAGCTAGCCTTCCGCCCAATGACAGCTGGGATAGGCTCCAGCACCCCACCGTGACCCAGAAGGATAAGCGGTTTAGATGATGGATGATGATGGATGGCATAAGCTATTCATAAATACTCAAGTTACTAAAATAAATACATTATTTAATGTTTAGTCCCTACTTAGGAAGCCTTGAAATAAAGTGTTAGCAAGTACGTCATCAAATACTGGTTTTATAATATTGGTCAAATCTAAAAAAAATTTTTATAATTGCAATTACCTGCTGATACCAATTTGATATTAACTGTGCATCCCTTTTACATAATTATGTAATTACAGTTTGTAAATTGTATTTACGGTTTTACATTCTGCATCAGCAGGTTTGATTTCACATTTCTAATTTTATCTCCATTTTCTATTAGGCAAATTTTAAAAAATGTATTTATAACTTTTTTATATGATTATACCCAAAACTATTTTTTTTTTCATCAAATTTAAACCATAATGAAATATCTACTCTTGTACTTACAAACAGAAATATGGTGTTGACTGAATGCTTCAAATATGTGTTTGTTTCAATGAGTAAATATAATTAAAATATAAAAAACAAAATATTTAAACAAAAGCATTTCAAAGTGTATACTCCATAGAAGACCTAAAAGGGTTAACAAATACACATGGTAAAAAAATCCATCAAATATCAAGAAACTTGAGTGAAGGGAAGGGTGGTGCTGGAACCATCATAATTAGATTTCATTCCACTTATCTGGATGGTCTAAGGACTGGCCCAATAACAGGTATGCAATGCTGAGTAAACGACTTTTTCATATTCTCAATAACCTGAGAGCGATTACAGTCACAGGCTGATAAATGATTCATCTGTGAGGCAGCGTTTCTAGATTGCATTTGCTTTTGGAGAGGGCCATCAGTGCTAACTTTAAATATCTTAGCATTCACTTGATTCAGAACTGAGCTAGAGCTGAAGTGAGCTCCTCAAACTAAACTTAGTTACCTTAAAGACAGAGGCTGACAAATACTGTCTACATGTACGTGTGTGTGAGAGAATCCAGCACAAAATCATTCCATCACATTATCTACCTTCTCTAATGGACATAAAGGCTCTGAGTCAAGGATGAGAGAGACAGAGGAAGACAACAGAGAATAGGAACTTACTTTGTCGAGAAATGTTATCAGTGACGCTGGCGTTGTCCTCTGAAATGTTATCACTCACATCACTGACGTAAGACTCATCATCAGAGGCCTGGAGAAAGGGGCAGGTGGAGGGGGAAAGAAAGAGAGGGGGTGGGGAGAAAAGCAGAAGAGGGAAGCGGAGAAAGACTTATTTAAGTTACATGAACTGATGCATATTCACTCACTGTCATGCTCAGTCAGTATCTCTCTCTCTTTCTCTCTCTGCAGTGCTGACTAATTGAGTACACTTTCACAGTGTGTGTGTGTGTGTGTGTATTTGTGCGTGTACCGACTGTTGTACTGATGCTCTGCAGAACAGAATAACCCACTGCAGCATTTTAAAGCTCCTGATACAGTCACCTAATCAATACAGGCAGAGCACTTACAGAGCACTACATTACTACTACATCACACACACACAGCAAATATAGTTCAGGAACGGCTTTGTATTTGTATTTTTAATGTATTAGTTCTAAAAACTGAAGCATGCAGCCAAAAATGTATTTCCGGGAGGACTACAACTATACTTTAGCAATATACCATAGAGTACTCAGACAAAAAGTGTGATGCACGACTGAGGTATACCAAGCCAAAGCTAGCCTCAGCTGTCACATTTATGTTGGTTTTAACTTGGTAATGAGTGGTTAACATGATAATGAGTGGTACTGACTAGTAATGAGTGGTAAACATAACTTTATAACCTTGGAATATAGAACTTGTAGTAGCCTATTATGGTATATTCCAATTATTTTGTCAAATTTTTAGTTGTTTGGTAATATAATCATGAACATATTGTTGTCAGTGCCTCAGTTTACACAAATCTGGGTTCTTAGGGTTTGTTTAATGTGGGTTTGGGACATTTACTTTATGTACTTTACATACATGCTTATACATGCTTTAATACAGTTGATGTGTGCATACATTGCATATTTTTCAATGGCCTAGAACGTGGCTTGGCTAATCAGATTTCAGAACCTGAACTATCTAGCTTATATTTGATATTACAAAGGGTTGAATGCTTAATTTTACTTAGCACTACGAATACTACATACTATATGTGAGATCACAGGTGCACATAGACCCTTACTCCCACACCCATACCCTTACCTCATTCTCTGATGAGCTGGCTGAAAGCAGCACTTCTTGAGCGTCAAAGAACTCAGAGACAGATTCTGACATGGAGAGTCTGCTCTCATTGGAGGCCTGCTGCGTGAGAGGAATCCCCACATGGATCTGTTCACTTGCCTGCCACACACAAATATAGTCGTACGCAAAGATTTTAACACCCCCATCAAATTACATGTTCTGTTTATTTTCTAACTGAAAATCAGTTGGCACAAATTTAAATATGCCATAATAATATGTAAACTTTTGCCCAAGTCACAATTTATTTGTTAAAATTGATAAAACATAGAATTTAACTGGGGTCCCCAAATTTTGGCACCTGACTGTACATATTCTTCGAGGGTTCAATGATATTTGGTTTGCAGATTTGGAGAAATGGTCTTCAGTATTTAGTAATTCAGACATATTATTCGGTAACTACTGCAAACTATTCTGTCACTGTAATGAAACTAGCATATAAAATGTGTATCTATAAGAGTTATGAGGGTGAAGAACTGAAGTTTGAAGGTTTAAGACTGGATTTGGGAGTTAAAGTTTACAATGACAATGGGGGCAGAGCGGACGTACCTCATCTGGACTGCTTATTATGTTGACGCTGACTACCTGGTCTGAGAGCACGGACTCTGAGTGGATACGATTCAGCCGGGTCTTCAACTCTGCGTTCTGGGACAGGGCCTAAACCAAGAGAATAGCACAAACCAAACACGAATCAAACTCCCAAATGGAAGTAGATCCATGGGCTTAGTTGAAAGATATTTTGAGTAATGTTCAGTGCTCTCATGTTGTGATGTTTTCTCTCCTTTTCCATGAGGACACATTTAAAAATATGCTGCATAATTCATTACCTTCATCTGCATTCCCTGTATGTGATCACGGACCGAGTGAACTACAGTGTAAAGTACCACAGCCTCTAGAAAAGCCTGTGCACATGCCTCTACAGTACAGCTTAAAACAGACAGAATAAAAAGGAACTATGTATAATGTACAATAATACAATGCATTTTAAGCACCTTTCCAAGCAACCCAAAAAAGAGAAAATAATTATAATAACATTTCACAAATCAAAACTAAGATGCTACACTGCAGGATGCCACTTGAAAGTTTGTGAATCCTTTAGTATTACATGAATTTCTACATAAATGTAACCTAAAATTAAATCTTCATTTAAGTCACAACTAGAGATAGAGAACCCAATAAAACAAATTCCACAAACAATTATATAGTTCTTCATTCATTTACTGAACAAAGTGATCCAGCATGGAATTTCTCTGTTGGCAAAAGTATGTGAACCTGTGCTTTCAGTAACGGGTGTGAACCCCTTGAGCAGCAATGACTTCAACCAAATGGTTCCTGTAACTGTACATTGACTTGGGGGAATCTTGGCATATTCCTCCTTACAAAACTGCCACAGCTCTGTCATGTTGGTGGGTTTTCTTGCATGAACACCACACTGTAGATTCTGCCCCAACATCTCTATTGGATTAAGGTCTGGACTTTCAGGCAGCCATTCCAAAATGTAACATTTCTTCAGATTTAAACATCCTTTGTAGACTGTATGTACATTCTTTGTAACTGGTGTTTTTTTGCGTTGTTGTCTTACTGCAGCAACCACCTTCTGTTGAGCTTCAGTTCACAGACGGATGCCCTGACACTGTCCTGTAGAATTTCTTGATACAATCCAGAATTCATAGCTCCATCAAATGATGGTAAGCTGTCCTGGCCCAATAGCAGCAAAACAACCAAAATTATGAAACTGCCACCACCGTGTTTTGGAGCTGGGAAACGGTTCTTATGCTGGAATGCAGTATTGAGTTTTTAGTAAAACATAACATTTAAGTTTATTGTTCATCTAAGTAGTCTTTTGGCTTGTCCAGGTGGCCTTTAGTTTAAACAGGCAGCAGTGTTCTTTCTGGAGAGTAGTGGCTTTCACTATGCCATCATTCTATATGTACTACTTTTGTTTAGTGTTTGCCTAATTGTGGACTCATGAACACTGACATAAGCCAGTGTAAGAGAGGCCTAGAGATCCTTAGATGTTACGCAAAGGTTCTTTGCGATCTCCCAGAATATTACATGTCTTACTCAGAGTAATTTTTATTAGATGACCACTACTGGGAAGGGTAACCATGGTGTTGAACTTCCTGCATTTGTACACTACCTGCCTGACAGTGGATCACTGAAGTCAGAAAAAGTACATGGACCTCTTCTAGCAAATATTTTTCTGAGGTTCACAGAAATCTCATTTGACTGAGACATGGCATGCACTAACAAATGTGTGTGGTAAAGACCAGACTTTGATGGTGAAGAATCAGGTTGATGATTTTAAATAGGATAGGGTCAGCTACACTCACATCTGATTATCATCTAACTGATTGAACCTCCTGACCCTATTTATCACCTATACCAAACTGATAATTCTAGATGTTCACATACTTTTGCCACCCAAAATATATGATCTTGGATCACTTTGTTTAATGAATTAATTGAAAAACTGCCTGTGTTATTTGTTTTACTGGGTTCGCTTTATCTATTGTTATAAGTTAAATGAAGATCAGACCACATTTTAGGTCAATCTTAGGCAGAAATGCACACAATGCTAAAAGGTTCACATATTTTAAAACAGCACTGTATGTTGCCATGCTTAGATGAATTACAAACCCAGTGAGACAGCCCAAATGAGCTTATTGTCCCTTGGCTAATCCAAGTAACACTTAATCTTATTCCAATTGTGCTCACAAAGACAAAAAGGGCCTTTTGGAGAATGATGTCCTCTTTCCCTCTCATTAAGTTATTATCAAACCAAAGTAATTACACAGGAAATCAACGTCACAATGCAAGTTTATGGCTTCACACTTTCTGCTGGCAGTTATGTCATTTATGAAGCAGACCCTCGCTTAATTTTATTTCTTATAATCACATTGTCAAGCTTCATTTCCAGGGTCATCAACCCCTCTGAGGTGCATGGTTGCTATAGAGATCGTAACCTTGGCAGTAGTATGAAGAGGTTAGACTAACCTGTGACAGGGAGCGCCGCAGGGTCACAATCTGAGCTGACTGACTGGAGTGCTCCTGCTCCGACAGCACCTGTTTGATCTTCTCCTTCTCTATGGCCACCGTGTTAAAGGCAGACTTTAGCAGTGAGTGCACTACAACACACAAAAACAAACAGCTTCAGGTGCTGTCAACTTTGTAAAAATGAATGATGTTCGCTCTCCTGATAAACCAGCTATCAAAACAAGGCCTGCTGATGTAGTCAGTAATTTCATTTAATGCTAACCTTTCTGAGCGATAATGCAAAAATCTTCCTGCAGTTTGATGTAATCGCTGGCACATTCAATGCTATCAGTTAGACGGGTAACAGGGGTCTGGTACTCAGCAAGCTCCGCGCATAGATTTGGGTTAGAGGAATGAAGACGCACTGCCGACCGGGTAGCACTCAAAGGAACCTGCTCAACACAAACACACACATGCCATAGACAACCACACACACACAAATATTAGGAGAAAGCAAATCAAACGTCCTTTCCTTGGACAACAGAAATTTAGAAAAATCCAAAAAGTACGTAAGACAAAAACATCACCCTAGGCAAGGGCTACAAATCCCAGATTCCTGTGTTTACAGACTATTGCTTCAGCCATACAGAGCATCTAAACAGCAGATGTAGTAGATTTTTGCCCTAAGGCAGACTCGACACAGACTAAAGAAAATTCACATATGCTAGCAATGAAAGGTCATTCAGCTTCATACCATAAAAAAAAAAAGAACAGCACAGACACAGTAATGTCCTTCTCATGTGCTACAACTGAATGAAGAAAGCAAATCACACAACCAATGAAGCTACAGAACAGCTGTACCTGGTAATGACTAAATGAAGTGCAGTGTTAAGTAAGCCAAAGCCCATAACCCACATCAGTGCTGTTTAACTCGTCAATTTAATTAAATAAACAATTAGTGGTCTCTGACTTTTCACTGCGCAATATTTACATTTTTATGAACCCCTATATTTAATGTAAACATTAGGTCTACATATACTGGGTAATTCACTTTTGGGTTATAACCTGTTAACAAAATTTATGAAAAAACAAGTATATACATACTGTCTTCAATCTGATAAACAAAGAAAGAGAAATGCAATGCCAGCTGGCTAATTTTATTGTTTTGTAGACTCTCAAATGCCAAATCAAGAGACAAGAGGTCACTTTTATTAACTTAAATAATGACATTTTAGAATCATGCAAATTCTGAAAATTCAGAGTCCTGAAGGGCCATAGGATTACTTACAGTTACTCTGAATTTATCAGAAGCTGAAACATTACTATGTTATTAGTAGGTGAGATTTAATTCAATATTTCAATATGCTGTGCTAAAATCTGATATAACAGTGACAATATACTACAATTTGAACATTTTGGTTTTACTCTTAGTGTAAGTAAACATATGTGAACCTCAGAAAGAGTCTTTCAGGTGTGCTTCATGGAGGAACACAGCATATTCATAAAGGGCTTAAGCTTGGTGATGGTAACACTTACTTTAGCCTTGCGTGACCTGGGTAGACTGTAGATATGGGGCTGTATATCAGAACCTGATAGCACACATTTAAATTACAGTTACTAGTTACCTGACACTAAGTTTCTATTTAACCACACTTTTTGGCATATGGTGTGCACATTCTAATATATCTGATATAAAACCTTGCGTAGACCATGATTTTCTTTAAGCCCTACTCAGCCACTGACCTACTGGGCCACATTTGGCAAAAAAAACAACAGGGGCTTTTTCATTGCAGCAATATCTCCTTTAAAACACACATTAAAAAAGAACTTTGCTCATATCTTCTAGGGTTCTAGGATCACTCATAATATATTTTGCTAACATTTTACAAAGCAACCTTAAGTTTTTTCATAACACAGAAAACTTTGCAAAATACAACTATAGTTTATTTAATATAGTGATAATATGTATCATATCATGGAGCCCCGTGGTACAGCTTCAGGGATTAGCGCTCTTGCAGCAAAGTCAGAGTGCAAACTGCTGATTGTGTTAAAACAAATCATTAAGAACATAACAATTATCATGTCACTTTGATGAGTCATTTGCTTACTGTCACCCATAGTGGTTCTGCAGAGCCCGGCAGTGTTTGCACACTGAGCACTATAATACAGTGATGCCTTTAAATGGATGCCAGTGTGGAGTGAGACCCTGCAGAGCAGTTTAAAAGGTTTCTCATGGATGCATTGACTCAGAATGCTTAACCTTTTCTTCAGCATGAGATGCTACCTTGCTCTCGCTCATGGCTAAGGTTAAAGACTGCGATAAGTAGACAGTTAAGAGGGTGAGTGAACTGTCAGTGAGGGGCAGGTGTGTGTGCAAGCTTTCTGTGTTTACTGTAAGCCAGAAGGGGGTAGACCTGGGTTAAACTCCCACAGCTGTGGAATCTCTGTGTGTGTTTGAAAGAGAAACAAATAAGAAGAGACAGAGAAAGAGTGAGAGAGATATATTTGGCCTTAACTGCTACTATTATAGTACCCTAGTGTTCTTTGTAGCAGTAGTACGAATTGTAAAGATTGCCAAGTTAGATTTTTTTGGTGTACTTTACCCACATTCGTTATTCTCAAGGCTCAAGGCTTCAGCCTTTCCATACCATTTGGAGCCATAATGGAAGTTACATCCTATTTGAAATCTGAAACCAATGTATAAAGCACTCACAACATCCAACCGAACTGCATGTGACCACATTACAAGGTAAAACATAAACAGATACTTCTGTGTACTTGGGCATTTACTGCCAGAAAACCGTAAAGCATCAAAGTTCTAGATAACAAACCAAGACATTCAGTGAGAATTAGAGCAAGAGAGAGATGATGTACCTGCAGTTGCATTTTTGCGTCTTTGCTGACACTTTTTGTTCTCCATCTTCTGCTGACTCTCTTGTCTTTCTTTGATAACTCTACACAGTTACTCTAAATTACACACACACGCATATAACCAGGCATGCGCACACACACACGCGCACACACACATGGAGGACATGGGAGTGAGTTAATAGCATGTGAAAACAGCATCTAAAGCACTAAAAGCAGATGAAATATTATTAGAGGTGACAGCTGTTAGCTATCGTAGCATGGAAATGACAAAATAATGCATATATATTCAAATACAAATACACATACAAATACATATACAAATAAAACCTATTTTTGTGCAAATAACATAACTGAAACTATACATGACATTTTTGGTCTCTAGGATTTACAAACTGATTTTATACATGTATAAAATGTATAATGCATACAATACACATCTACAAAGTCTGCAATTAAATTTGTTTCTCTGTGTTGTTTCAAGCCTGTTCATGTTCATTATTTTTAGGCATTTGTGATAACACAAATTATTTCCTCTCCTGTGTGCTAGCTGGCTGCTGGCCCTCGTTTTAGAAAGCATGTAGTCTTAGACAGAACTACAAAAAATGACAACTTGATCATTTCTACAGTCTGTTAAGTCTGTAGACTTCATTTGAACTACTGATACAACACCATGTGAAGCTGTTTACACCTAGCATCAACATGCGTTTCTGGTGATCCAATTTGACTTGACCACACTAATCTTGATAACACTCAACATAACTGTAAATGGAATGTGTTTTCTATATTTGTGTACAAGCAGAAATGTATCTGCCGAGAGGTGAGAGGATAAACAAGGAAATGCAAAATGGAAGATGGAACTATCCTGAAACCAAGTGCCTTCTTGCACTGTGGGGTAACAGGGAAATAATCAGATGAACAAATTAAAGAAGTAAAACAAAAATTACATGTGTTGATGAACTTTTTATGTGAAATCAGATCTCGTCTGGTCATACTGGAGATGAATTTTAGTGAAAAGTATAAATGGAAACCTGCCAAAGTATACATTCATATGCAAATGTTTGAACACCCATGGTTAAATGACACATTTTGTTCATTTTCAAAGTGAAAATAAGTTAAGACATCCTCTACAGGGCACAAACTTAAACATTTTTTTCTGCCAATTTAAGTGCACAATTTCTTTTCACTTGCTGAGTTTAATATATTAGAAAAAAAAAAAGTGAAATATTAAGTGAGCCATAATTTTTGCATAGGCCACATTTAATGCTTTATTTCTTTGCAATGTGTGAAATTCAGTAAATAAACAGTAATTGTGCATTACAATATGCAGAAAAGTGTTCTCTGTAGAGAGTGTGTTAATTTATTTTCACTTCGAAAATCAACAAAGCATTTAAAGTGACCAGGGGCGCCCCAACTTTTGCATATGACTGTATGCAAAGATATGATCCAGACACATGTTAATGCAAAGTAAAAACAGTCTCCCTCACTTCAAAATATAGTCAAAATTCATTTTCTTTATTATACACACTCTATAATTCAATATTAAATGAAATCAACTTTAGGTGAGTCAATTTGAATGTACAATCAGTGTATAATTAGGCGTTTAATTAGTTAGAGTTAAGGTAAGTTTATGATGGAATATGGAGAAGCCCTGATTTGGGAAGAATGGATGACATGCTGATAAAGATGATAGACAGTTAAAGCACATTTGATGCTATGAGGCATGTCAGGTATGACATGACAGTAACACACATTGACTGGAACATGACTACTTATACACACAATAATACACCTATACCAATACACATACACTGATACACATGCAGAGGAATGTGAATTTTGTAAATGAAAGTATTTTTTAATGAAGTGTAATGAACATTTATTTATTAACAAATATATATTTGATGGGATGTTTAAAAAAAATAACGTGCATACTGGACATGGGATTACATAATAATAAAAAGAGAGACTGTGAAGGTTTAAAACGTAAGGTGATTAAATGGTGGTAGCAGTGCCATTGCTCCGAGGGACTGGGTTTGGTTGGTGTCCATAAAAGGCCTCACACACATGCACGCACGCACGCGCACACACACACACACACACACACACACACACACACACACACACACACACACACACATACGCACACACACACAGCTGTATTTTCACCCAGTATGTCAATCTATGACTTCCCAGAGCTAGAGCTGTTTATTTTTAGCTACACTTATGTGCATATGTTTGTTTGTCTGTGTAAATGTATTACCTGCATGTCTGTGAAGCTTGGTGCTGACTGTGTTCTCTGTAAAATCTCCAGACTTTGCAGTAACCGGCTCAGCTCCATCAGACTAGACTGACAATGTGCAAGCTCTAAAACATACAGGCAGATACAAACATTCAGTACATACATAGCAAAAAATTAAATAATAAAAATAAAACAGAATTCAAGTGAAAACCATGTATGTGTGCAGCCGATCTGTTTTCCTGTTGTTCCACGTTTATCTTAATGCACTGTGTAACAACAATCTGAATCAGAACAGCTCATAATGGAGGGTGCAGGCCTTTTAAACACTTTTGCCAATTCCTTATGATCTTAATCCAACACCCCATCTTATTACCTTTGCCCGAGGAAGAGTAGCTAAACCTCAGTCTCATCAGCTACTACACAAATTCTTATATAGCTGGAGGGGAGAAAACTGCAGAAGCGTGTATACAAGGGTGTGTAAGATGTTTATATCTTTGAGCTCACAACAATTTAATTTAATATTGCTGCTTCAGGAAATGATTCAGCGCATCATGAAATGTCAAAAATAATGTTGTTTACAGTCTTTTGATATGATTCAGATTTTTTTTAAAAAACCAAATGTGACAGGAAGAACTATTTAAACAGCACTGGAATAAACAATAAAAATAAAACAATAAAAATGGAACAATAAAATCCGTAAGTCCCATCAAGTTGTTTCAGACTCCAGGTGACAACATGGACAGTGTTCCTCCAGAATATCCTGTCTTCTCTTTGGGTCTTCAGGCTTCTGAATTACTTGTTCATGATTCCTCTAATTGTATCCATCCATCTTCTTGCTGGACATCCTCTTCCTCTTTTACCTTCAGCACTTCCAAGCATAATGGTCTTTTCCAACAAACTGTTTCTTCTCAGAATACATCCAAAATAAGACTGTTTCAGTTTGGATATCTGGGCTTTGAGTGAGAGATGAGGCTTGATTTGTTTGAGGATCCATTTGTTTGTTTTATTTGCCAACCAATGAACTCTCAGAAGTCTTAGCCAACACTAAAGTTCAAAGGCATCTATATTTTTTCTGTCTGACTTGATTATTGTCCAGTTTTTACTTTAATAATGAACCACAGAGGACACTTTAGCCTGGACATTTATGATCTTTGCCTGTAGAGACAAATCACTGCATTTAAAGATATTTTTAGCTCCTTCATCCTTGCTCTGCCAATGTGTGTCATATTTTTGAGTGCAAGATTCTCTGTTGTTAATAATTGATCCAAGTAGGCCAACGCTGTCCATCATTCCACATCTTCTCCATGAATGGAAACGTTAACTGTCTTTCTTGTTGTCATAAACTTGATCTTCTTCACATTGAGCTGAAGTCCCATTTTTTCACTCTGTTCTTTAACCTTCCTCATAAGGGCCCTCAGGTCATCCAGATTTTCCGCTATGGGTGTTGTGTCACCCACATATCGAAGGTTTTTGATGTTTCTTCCACCAATGCTGAATCTTCTACCATCTTCCTCCAGTCTTGCTTTTCTCATTATATGTTCTTATACAGTTGATGGTGATGGTATGAAGCCTTGTCTAACTCCTTTTCTGAAATGGAACCATTCTGTCCGTCCATTTTCTATCCTGACTATGGCCTATTGATCAGTGTAGAGAGCCCTCATTTTAACAATGAAATGTTTTAGTATTCCCACTATGTGGTTGTTAAAGCCGAAGGCTTTGCTGTAGTCAATGAAACACATGTTGACTTCCTTCTTGAACTCCTTGTTTTTTTCAGTAATCCAGCAAACACCTGCATTGATGTCTCTTGTTCCTTTGCTTTTCCTGAATCCTGCTGGTACATCTGTCAGTTCTCTTTTGATGTAAGGCTCTGGTCTGCACTGAATGATCTTGAGTATAATTTTACTGGCATGTGATATTAAGGAAATTCTGCAAAAGTTTGCACACTCATTCTTGTATTCTTTCTTTGGTACTGAACATACTTGACCTCTTGAAACTTGACCTCTTCCACTCTGCTGGCCATTAAGCTGTTTGAGCATATACTTAATGAGCATATTTAATATGCTCAACCTACTCAATTAGCACATAATTAACATTATGAAAATGTATTATTAAAAATATTATAAACTGTTACAATTAGTTCTAACATTCCAAAATCTATGCACAAATTAATTGCCATATTCAAATTGATGCATCACAGCACCTAATGTGTTCCTACAAACCACTGAAAAACATTAGAAACTCTGGTTCTACACCAGATTTCTCAAAGACAAAAATAAATGGGACTTTGGAAAATCACTGCCATCACACCCCAAAATGATTTTACATTTGACACATTTTATCCTTGGTATATTTTTTCACTGAAGGTGGATCCTCTAAATTACAATGTCATTAAGCAGCAGATATATGAATTTCACTACATGCGGGCTAATACTGCTGCACACTGAACTGATATCATAAGACAGGCAGGTACAGAAAAATACCCCTAACAAACCAGCAAGCTTTGTTGAGTGTGGTAGTTAAGGTGTTTTGGCAGTAGAGGGTACATTAAGAGTAGCTGGTGTTATTATTTAACAGTGTTGAAGTTTAATAATATACTTACTTTCACACAATGTTATTTCAGTGCACAGGAGTTTCAGCTTGCTATTAGCACAGATGTAACAATGTTTGTACTCCTCAATGACCTAGATCCAGTGACACTCAGTGAAAAATGTACGTAGGACAAAACATACCAGGAGCCTAAGTTTGGAACCTTTTTGTGTACCACGTGGCATGATACCAGCGATTTCTGAAAACCCCTTTCATTTTTGCCCTAGATCTGGAGTTGCTTTTAAAGGCACGACACATGACTTCAAAGGTCTATGCATGCATACGTGAGCATTTAGTAAGTGTGTTACCTTCTGCACACTTGTCCATCTCCTCTGACTCCTGCAGCCATGCTGCTACTTTGCTCTGGCCATTGCTGCAGGAGGGTGGCAAGCTGGTGGTGCAGGTCAGGGGCGGCTGCCAGGGCAGAGAGCTGGGCTTCACCTGCTGCTGAGAACACACAAACACACATACAAATAAAGAAACAAATATATACAAACAACTTGGATGTGCTTATGCTTCGTGAATTATAAAATGAGCAGACAGCAGATGGCACAAAGATGAATGCAGGGATCCCACAACCTACAGCTTTTAACAAGCTTTCCATTCCATTCAAGGATCAGAACTAGCAAGCAAGATAAAGACTCAATTAGTAACATTTTAAAACATTTTTATTGTTTCTTTGGATGTGTAAGTTCGAGAGAAAACAACAAAAGAAGCATTAGCCTAACAGGGCTTTGGAATGTGAAGTCCACCAATTTGGCAGGGTTCGTCAGTCTAGACTTGTTTAGAATAGCTGAAAACCCCTAACTTTTCTATTGCTTTCCTTGATTTTGGCTGATCTGTAGCTTATGATCTCACCAAATACGTTTGCAGAGATGACTAGCACATGAATCTACATGACTACCGGATCACAGATCTGAACAAAATCAAAGAAAACAGATTGGAAAGGAATATTTAATTAGCTATTCAGAAGTAGCTTTAGTTAAACAGCACATATGAAGCATTGAAGTGAGAGTGTAGATAATCATTAAGCTCAAACTAATTTAAAAATTAGCAAATTTATCATGTTTGGAACCAGCAAACTAACTCTTCACAAACACCTCATGGGCAACAGGATGTAACTGCTGGTGGAACAGAAAACTGAAATAAGAAGCAAATCTCAGCACTGAGGTAGGATCAACAAACTTAACATTTTACCTCTCTAAACTCTTTGTTTTTCTCAAAAACATATGAGGTGAAGTAACTTAAGTTGTCACTGGGCTAGTAAAGTTAGCTGAGCTGCCAGACAATTAGCGTTTACTTGTTCTGTTTCTCCTGTAGATTTAAGATTGACTGCCTCTTCAGTGTAAATGTAAGATTTCTGTGATCTAATATGGACAGTGGAATATTCCAAACTCGAGTAAAATATGGCAGTAACTGAGTTAAATCAAAGACTGTATGAATCCTCTCTGGTTAAAAATGCCAGTGGCCGAGTGAATAACGTTACATCTGACAGTGGCTGAGTGAAATACGGCATTGAGTCAAAGATGTCAGTAAGTTAACTGAGTGAAATCTGCCGGTGGCTGAGAGAAATAATTATTTGTAAACTGTACATGGGTACAGTTTGATGCAACAGGAAGCCGAATTTCCTCACAACATCTATTACCTCAGGAGGCTGCCCACAGCATTCAAACACACTGTGAAGTTATGCTTAGTTTTATAGTTTACAGTTAGTCATACTGTGTCCTAAACCACATCAACAAGTCTGCATGGCCTTATCTTAATGAAGTCCTGGATGTGGTTTGAGCAAGATAAGAGAGGTTTTGGGAATGTATTTAAGGAAAACATTTGGGGGACTATGGACTTCTAGTATTTGTTAGCTACATTTGCCAGTGCTAAACTAAACAAGCATAATGTATGTAAACCAAACATGTCTTGGCTGATTAACCACATGTCATGTAAGTAGATAATTGTGTACAACTGATTTTTCGCCAAACCTTTCCTTTAAGTTGAGCTGACATAGGTGGAGGGCTCATAAAGGGCAGCTGTATTACCCACTATGCTATGCTGACTGCTGAATGTGTTGGTCTGAACTTAAACTGAGGTTTTGTATGTTACTGAATGTGCTGGTGTGGTATTGAATGTGCTGGTGTGGGTTAAGGTGACTTTCAAAAGGTGCAACTGCATTAGCTGACATCATTAACAGAATGCATCCAACATCCGTGATGCACATTATTATGTCTTTGCATTGCAATATTTATACCCTAATAAACATTCCAAAAGATTATTGTTAAAACAAAAAAAATGCTCTAAGCTAAAGAACATCAGACAAAATTATGAAAAAACTAAACTAATATAGAGACACTGTATCTGCCTGCTCCTGCTTTGTTTCCACAGAACGGGTGAAATGAGAAGCTGGTGTATTTTTTTTGATGAGTCATTACTGCGTTCCACTGAGTGTGTCACAGAGACCTTCCCTGGAGGAGTACTATATCTAACACACACAGACAGAAGCACAAAGAAACAGATATAGAGAGAAAGACAGAGAGTGGAGGAGAGAGCAGACGAGAGAGAGAGATAGAGAGAGTGAGTGAGTGAGAGAGAGAGAGAGAGAGAGAGAGCGAGAGGGAGAGAGAGAGAGAGAGCGAGGGAGAGAGAGAGAGAGAGAGAGATATTCACCTTGGTTTCGTGAGCAGAAGAGGGGGTTGTCTGAGGTGACTCGAGGCTGGCGGGAGGAGGGAATGCTCGTAAGCTGGCATCGCGAGGGGAACGCACAATCTCATTCTGCCTGTACAGACGGTGGTGACGCAGCTTACACACCCAGGCATCAAACACGTCTGGAGACTTCACCTACACACACAGGCAGAGGACAGCAAAGAGACAGACAACACATGTCTTCAGCATCTGTCTGTCTGGCTTGCTGCTTGCTCAGTTGTTGCAAACACACAAATGCAATCACACATTTATACACCCACACACAGTGCTGTTAGTGTTATCTTCACGTGTTCTCTTGTCCTTCTCAGCCTCTTACCTTGAGATGATAGATGTGCTCCTCTGTGTCAAGGTCTATGCGCCGAGCTCTCTTCTTTATGGACATCACAGACAGACCTACATCTATACTGCCATGGAGCTTTCCTTTCTGAATCTGACACAGATAGAGAGAATGACACTCACACTTTCAGTATGTTGGAACTAAAGCTGTCACAAATGACTAATACTAATCAGACAATCCATCAATTATTTTCATGATCAATTGAGTCATCAGTTCTAAATAAAAGGCTAAACAATGGACTTAACTGAACAATAACAAACCATGCATAGCCTTTCGAAGATTATAAAATCCTCTACTAGAAAAAAAAAACTAACTAGGAAACCTTTGAAAAACTTAAGCATTTACAAACCTATCTTTGTAGAAACCCAGTATATGTAGTGTCTACCCAGTACCTAGTTTGGCAAATCAATCCTTCACTAAATTAAAGCATGTCTTGCTGTTGGAATTGAACAAAACTATGTGATTGCTGGAGTGCACCAAGAAGTCAGGAACCAAACCTGTATTCTTCATCAAATTGTTTTCTTCTAATCTGTTTTACCTGGCAAAACACACTTACTGCTGAGAAAAAGAGATTTAAACAATTTTCTTGGCTGCCTAAGACTTTTGCACAGGACTGCATATATAAAACACCTGAAATGCACTTAAAACTGTGTTTAAATGTGTGTCCATCAGAGTCTGTTTTATACTGTAAGAGTAACCATTTCTGAGTAAATTTGAAAGGACAATTTAAATTATCATCCTTCAAATTGCCAAATAATAATTTTAATAATCATCAATTTAAAAAGAATGAAACCAAATTTAGACAATTATTCACTTACCCCAGATCAGCCAACACATGTTTGGCATCCACATTTAGTGCTGGGGCTATGAGGCTAACGTTGCTAGCAAACACAAGAAGTCAATAATAACCCTGTAAATACATCCCCAAAACTTCTCTCAACCTTCTCACACTGCATCCAGGTCTTTGTTAGGGTCGCACAGATTCAGCAATGTGGTTTACAGCACAGTTTGACTTACTATGAACTATAAACATTGAGTAGCTAAATCAGCTGGCAGCTATTTTAGACAACAGATAGGCCAAATTGAGTTTTAGAGATGTATTTACAAAAAAGAACCAGGTGACTAGTGACTTTTACCGTTTATTAGTAACATCAGCCTTAAAGTTTAAGCTCTAAACTAAAGAACCAAAATTTGGACACCAAATATTTCTTGGCTGATCACTGAGTAAGTGGAAAATTATGTGAATTAGATTTTTTGCCAAACCATCCTTTTAACTGATTTTTTTTTCTTTAACTCAAATAATTACATTTAGTCATGTAATCACAACAGCAAAAGTTGGAATAAATACGTTAAATGCCTATGCCAGTGAACTGAACCTACTGAACATGCAATATGCAGTATTAGATTCAATTGTCTAAAGTATAAAATGGAAAAAGATGAAAACAACAGTAGAATTACTACCGTATATTAGAAAAGCAGAACTGTTTGTGATGAGAAAATTAATTTTTTCTGGTAGAACACCAGTTTAATGCAGGCAGAACAAAGATACAAACACTATTTGTTCAAGTGGACTTCTAAATGCACTTCTGATAAGACAATAAGGACCCACCAATCCTCCATGGTTTAAAAATCAGCAGTTAAACTTTTCTTTCACATAGCTGTTCCCTATCTTAGTGTAATCTGATTTCAGTTCACCTCACTGTCTGAACACAAAGTTCTTACTTTACGTTATACAGTACCCAGCTTCACCGTCACACTGTACTTACGTCTATGGGGGACTTGGAGTACTTCAAGATTCCGTTGTCCAGGACAAAGAAACGCTGCATTAAAAAACAGCAAAGGAGAAAGCTTGATAAGACAAATTTGTTTTACATTGTAGAATGCTGCAAAGGCTTTAGTGATAAAAGTGTGAGCTCTGAATGTGCAGTAATCACACTGAGTAGAGCTGTTGGTGAATCTGTGATTAGACTGAACAGAGTAAGTAAATCTTTCCAGTGCTCATAATCATACAGTGCTTATACAGAATGAGACAGACATAAAAATTAAGCATTTTCTCATTTTCCAATTTTAAAAATGTGAAAAAAAGAGGTTTATAGGTATAGTATAACTGTAAGTCCAAAAGTATCCAGACACACCTCCTAATTAGTGAATATAGGTACTTAAAGGTACACTTGTTGACACAGATGTTGAATTACAGACACGTAGTTTGTATAAGCTCCATAGAAATAAATTTCCAACAGAATTGGATCACATCCTCACAGCAATGCTCCAACATCTAATGTGAACCCTTCCCAGAGGAGTACGGGCTGTTGCTAATGCAAAGGGGAACAAACTCCTAAATACCTTTGATTTCATAAGAAACGCTGGGTGGGCAGGTGTCTACTGTACAGTGATTAGAGGGCTAACAAAGAAATGCCTTTCTTCTCTGTAATGCCAGTATTGAACACAGGGGTCAACATTGCCAACTGAAGGTGACAGTGGCAACAACATTTCACATTTTGGTCAATAAAAATGCAGAGCCTGTGGCCTGAGTGGCCACTTGCTGTGTGCGTGTGTGTATACATCAACCATTGGCATGTTCACCCTCCCTTTGTGGGATTTAGAGCCTGTTTGGTTAGACATGGAACTCAAATCAGGTTTTATCAGAACTAACATGACGGCAAGTGACAATATTGCTTCACAGTCTGCTGCAAGGACTGGGTTAGAAAAGAATCAGGTAATGACAATGACTACATTAAACTTAAAGCTTGGAGTCAAGCGGAAAAAAGTCTTTGTGGCTTGAGTAAGATTTTGAAAAGGAAGTGTTGTGTTGCCGAGCATTATGAAAGCAAAGCGGCTGAAGCGCAATCATAGCAAAAAGCAAAACCTGACTGGTTTTTCATACAGGAACTGTAAACAGTATGAAACAGAGTATATACAACATATATGTTTCTATAATTCTAGCAACAAAATCTAAATTTTGTCCACAAGATTCACAAGCTTCGTGGGCCAATTGGCCACAACTATTTCATGCTCAGCTGTTGTGCGTTCATGCTTGGCTGTGAGCAGTCTTATGTCCTTCACAAACGTACTATTATGTGACTGACAGTCTACTCAATCTATTACTTATTAGATCTTTAAGGGAACACAAACCAGTAAAGCAATAATGTGCTTCTTCAGTGGTTGACTCAACTACCCATTTTGTCTGAATATAATTGCTGTAGTGTTTATACACTGATATGGTGGAATAGGTCAGTGCGTGTTGATGCACTATGAGTGCAGGTGCAACTGACCTTGTGCCAGCCCTTCAGCGGCCATTTTCTCTTCTTCAGCATAAACCCTTCATGTTTATCAGGTCTCTGGACATTCGTCTGCCCAATCTTCAGCCCTTCAACGATCTCCCAGCTGTCTGCCTCCTACAGAAAGCAAGCGACAAATACTGTAAATAGAAACACATAATCCATCTTGAAATTTAAATCCATTAGGTAGGTTTAATACAGTGAGTCAGTAGATCAGCAGGCCAATCGTAAGCACAGAGACAGAGACTGTGTAAAATTAGAGCGTGAATAAATTAAGTGCTGGTCATTTATTCTGTTTCAGCAGCTTCTGCTCCCTCAGCATTTCGATTTCCACACCATTTACTCTCTCTCTCTCTCTCCCCCCCTCTATTGCTCTGTTCCTGCTACATAAAATAGAATGTTTGTGGCAGAGAGGGAATTAGAGTTAAATAAAAGTCCTTAATTGATTTTTGCATAAACAAATAGTCTATACTACACAAAACACTTTACAGAATCAGAGGGACCAGTGCCTCTTTCCCATTGCTCTAACACTGCTACTCAAGACAAATACACACATACACAAAAGAGGAGCTGCCGGCTACAGACTGCAGAGAACCAGACACACTGAGCTGTCCATCGCTGTACCAACATGTCAGTGCTCACAGACACAGGAATATAGTGGCATGAATTTTAGATTGAGTACACTGAGAGAGAGAGATATTTTTAATTATTTACAGATTCATTTATTATAGATACAAACCCCAATATATATATATATATATATATATATATATATATATATATATATATATATATATATATACATAAAAAATGTAAACATCAATTACAAAAAACAGAAGCCAGTGGTTTGTAAAACAGCTCAAACAGATGATGTTCAATGCGTTACCTCATCAATTTTACTAGTTTTTGTGAATATATGCTCATTCTGAAATTGATACCTGCAGCACATGGGGACAACGGCAATTTAAGACTAATAAATGTTCAAAAACACATCTTAAACAGGTGTCCTTTATGAGCAAGGATGGAGATCAACATTCCTCAACAAGTGACTGCAAAGATTTTAGGTATTTCACACTCTACAGTAAACAATATGAAAACTTTCAGAAATCTTTGCGCAAAAAGAATAAGGCTGAAAACCACAACTGAATGCCTGTGACCTTCAATCCCTCAGACAGCACTACATAAAAAAATGGCATGCTGCCATTTTTGTCAATAAATACCGTTCCTTGCTGCATCCATAAATGCATGTTAAGAAGGAGTGGAAACGTACTGTGGTCTGATGAGCCAACCTTTCAGAATGTGTATGGAAATAACAGATGTTGTGTTCCATATACATTCCATATACATTGTTTCCAGGACAAAGTTCAAAACCCACGGTCGATAATGATGGGGAGTGTATTAGTGCCAATGGCATGGGTAACTTGTTAATCTGCGTAATTTTGGAGCAACATGTGATTTCTTTTTTAGGGACGCCAGGCTCATTTCAACATGACAACAACAAGCTACATCCTGCACAGCATGGCTATGTAGTCAGAGAGTGCAGTGCTGCCTAGCTGCAGTCCAGACCTGCCTCCCATAGAAATCATGTGGTGCATTATGAAGCACAAAATATGACTTGTATAATGGAATAATGTAAAAAACAGGGGGGAGAGAAAGAGAGAGAGAAAGGGGGGGGGGGCATAATATGACAAGAATGACTGAAGTTGTAGGTTAGCTTACTAACTATGACCTTGTGACATACACTGTGGTAGAACACCAATCAGTGTCAGTATCAAACACACTCACGCACACACACACACAGCTCACACTGTATCTAGCAGATTGTTTTTACCTCTAGTTGACTGAAAAAAATACATAAAAATAAACAATATTTACATTAATTGCAGTACAGACCTCAATATTTTCTGCTTTGGAAAAGAACAAACCAGAATATAGCTATTTCAGTGGCTAATGCAGTTTCATTGTTCCACTTGTTTGTCATGTAATGCAGTTCCTCATTCTGAGGTCAACTTTTTTTTTGAGAAATGAGAAACGATCTACCTAAAACAACCAAAGGACCCGAGAGAGTACACCGGTTTTCAAACTAATTGAACTAAATGTCAAGTGAAGCATCGCATGCCTTTGGATTTGCACATACATCAGTGACCTAATCATTATTAGAAAAGAGGGCCTAATTAGCTTTCTAAGTTTACTCTGCTCTGGACAAATTTATGCGTTTTTTCTGCTGGACAGTCAGTTCGCTTGGCTGCCAATACAAATGGCTGGGGAGAAAATCTGCCTCACTGAATGGGTAAGTGGACCCATTAATGCGAAAGGCCTTGTATTTACTGCATGTCAAACAAGTCAAATATGAGGTTATATGCTAAAATGTCAGCATGCTTTATTGCCACAGAAGTCTCCCAGGAAGAAGCTAAAGCTGCCCTTTAAGCTTTAAATCTGTCAGTCCACTGTAGGGTTCATGCAATTATTGAGAAAGACACACCAAAGAAGTTCAGGACAGCATTATATTCTCATCACACACTCCAACTCCACACTCTTGTGCTATAATAAAGTATATAATAAACTATATAATAAACTATATACAGTCAGCTCCATAATAATTGGCTCCCTTGTTAAAGATGAATTTAAAAAAAAAGGTCTTTGTGGTTCATTAGCTTCATCTCACAACTAAAAAAAAGAAAATGCAACTTTTAATTAAAGTAAGAGATTACAGAATATACTAAAAGAAGACAAACGTGTGATCATAAACGATAGCTACATGACTGAAAAATGCCCATCTCCACTGTGAGGGCAACAATTAAGAAGTATAAAACAACCAGTGCTGTAGTGAACCTGGCTGAAAGACAAGTGTATTTTGCATTCACACACAATGAGGAGAACGGCTGGTGAGGCAAAAAAATTCTCAGTTTACAGTTAGGGTCACTAAGTCTCCAAAACTACAATTAGACGTCACCTCCATCTCAACAAAGTATTTGGAAGGCAGGCCAGAAGAAAGCTTTTAGTAACCACAAACTCGAGTGTCAGGAGTTTGCTAGACATTACTAAGACTTTGACTTGAACCAGGTTGTAATATCAGGTGAGACAAAAATAATACTACACTCAAGGTAGGTTTGACGCAACAATAAGATTGTACAGAAAAGTTATGTATATGGAGGGTCTGTGTTTTTTGAGTCTGTTTTTCCTCCAAAGGCTCTGGAAACCATGTGATACATGGCATCATGAACTCTATGAAGTACCAAGAAATCTGCCCTCCACAAAAAAAAACTAAAACTGGGTCATGGGTGGGTCTTCTAGCGAGACAATTATTTAAAATATGCATCCAAATCCAGACAAAAATTACTGCAATGACCACAGAATCAAGCTTTTGACATCTCAGTCCCATGAAAAACCTATAGGGTAAGCTGAAGAAAGGAACCCACAACAGAGCTAGTACCCTAAAGGATCTGGAGATATTCTGAATTGAGTTGTGGTTTTAGATTCCTTTCTTTGTATTCTCCAATCTCATCAGGCATTACAGCAAAGTGTTGCTGTGATATTGTGAAAGGGAAGCAGCACTAAGTACTAAATGCACGGCTGCCAAAAATATGTTAAGTTCTGTGATGAGGAATTTGGTTTTCTTAGACTAAATTCACTTTGATTAAAGGTTAGACTCTTTAATTGACCACAAATATTTTTTCATGACCTTTTTTTTACCATCTTAACCAAGAGTGCCAATAATTGTGGAGCTGACTGTATAATCACTAATCAGGGCAGGAGTCATCAAAGACTATTTGTGTGTCTTAATAGGGGATTAGGAAAACACTGTAATATAAATATTTACTGTCACAATATGATATAAAACTTGACTGATGTTTAGTTGAATCTGTTGGTGCATTGATTAGCCAGTGTTGCAGATGAGCAAGTACACTTGTAGCTCTGCACAAAAGCTCATTTCATCACCCGATAAACCTGAAGCAAGGAAGCAGAATGTTTCTTTTCACAGCAAGGCTGCAGAGCCTGTTTAATTTAATCTATTATAGTCCACTATTAAGTTACATGCTTCAATGTAATATATCTAAACTATCGGTACAAGCATCAGTATCAGTAGACAACACAATCAGATCACACTTCAGATGTCAGCATCCTCCAGGCCAACAGATCAGTGTGTCTGAATGCACTCAGTCACCCAGTGCTGAAACAGAGTTTATTGAACGGAGGAAGCCCAGAGCCAGGGGGCAGCTTGGCTAGAGAGTACACAGACAGATTGAGAACCATTCAGGCCAGAGAAGCTGCACACTACAAACATCAATACAACGCTTCATTAAGAAAGCCATTACCTCAACACCTATATTCAACTCTAGCCATTTATGCTGCTCAGCATTTTAACTCTATTGTGATTGCTCTTTCTAAAAACATTGAGCAGGCCCACATCATGTAGGCCTAGGTGTTGATTTTAGTACAATCTCATTTATGACCATCACAAAGGTTCATCACAAAAGCTAAATATTTCTTTAGTGAGCTTTCACAATACTTTTATCAGTAAAACAAATGAAGGAAAATTGATTATGATTTCTAATTCACGCTGATTTTAATCTGTAATGCTGTATGAATGTGGTCTGGGTTATTCCACAGACTTTGTTAACCACTGTAAGTCAGCAAAATTGAGCATAAACATCTCTTTAAGGTTCATCTTATTTATATGCACACACAAACAAAAACACACAATTCTAACACTGCAATGAATCAACATCGCAGGTGCATGCATGTAAGACTCAGTGAAAGGACAAACGCTCCTGGGGGACTCCTTAAGAATAAATGGGGTCTATAAATACAAACACAACACTAACACACCCATAGCAGCTACTAACACATCAACTCCGCTTGAATTTACACCAATCTGTTTACAACAGGGAGAAGACCAGCAGCAGTACAGCGAGAGCAGCTGACCCACACTCAGCATCTGGCTGACAGTCAAAGACCGTGTGTTTGTGCATGTTTGTGTTAACTCACAGTCGACCCAAACACAGGTTGATAACAGTCAGTCATGAGTGTCTACTGCCAGCAGAGTGATGCAACTAGTGCACGACAGGGAGCTAAATAAAAAATTCATCACACGAGGAGGATGCTGGGAAATGCCT